TTCAACAGCACCAACAGGGTCACACTACCCCTGTCGATGCCCAGATGAAGGTTATCAGCTAAGGCAACTATGGCAGTCTCAACTCTATATCCTGTCCTAAAGCCAATTTGAAATGGATCTAGATAATCAGTTTCCTCCAAGACAGCTTGGAGTTGAAGAGCAACCGCCCTCTCAATCACTTTGCTCAGAAAGGGTAGTAGCGAGACTGGCCTATAACTGTTCATGTCCAGAGGATCCAGGGAAGGTCTTTTCAGGAGTGGCTTAACCACCACTTCCTTCAGACATGATGGAACATGGCCTTCCCTAAGGGATGCATTGATGATATCTCTAAGAAACATCCTTAAGGCATCTCCCCCCTGGATAGCTAACCACAAGGGGCAAGGATCAAGAGGGCAAATTGTTTTCCTCACTCTACCAAGAAGCTTGTCCACGTCATCAGTACTCATGATTGAAACTGAACCAGTATAATTTCATCAACGGTTATAAGTTATTTCCTCTTTTTTACTTGTTAATCATTAACTATCCTTACCAAGCAGCAGACCTATCATGCCTTTCCTCTTCCTTCAAACATCCCACAATGACCTCTGCTACTTTTTTGAGCTCTAACCTTGTTAATACAGTTGGCTCTTCCTATCTGCAGGCTTGCCATCCACAGATTAAAGCATCCTCAGATGGCCCCGACCCTCAATGTTGGCGTATGCACACAACTGCACCAATGCAGTTGCACTGACGTCATGCCACCATTGAGGAGAATGGGACTTGACAGTCCACAGAATTTGCCATCTGTGTGTGGGGTGTGTGTGTGTGTCCAGAGCAGAACCCCAGCAGATATAAAGGGCCAACTGTACTATGCCTACATATCTGTACTTGTCTTTAGTAATCTGTCCTTTCTTCTGTTTCTTATAAATGCCCTTTAAAATAAAATAACTACAACAACCATGTTCCTCACTATCCTCCTATGCAGCTACATTTGCTTCTCTAGATGTCTTCCATTTTCTTTCTCACTGGACTTGCTTGTACAACTACAATTCACACAATCTATTGTGGAATCTATTCAGAAACTCCTAACCTTCTTGAGCTTCTTTCCCTAGTATATCTAGCCATTAAATCCTTCCTAACACTATTTTGAGGGTGCATCCAGACTGAAAAAAATCCAGATTTTGGTTCTGTTCTTTCTGATTTTAAATTAGGCTAAAATAAACCATCCTGAGGAGCTAGTATAAAAAGGTCTCTGAGCATACTCTTTGCTGACAGAAAACATTTTGAAATAAATAAAACATGTATGGATCTCCAAAATAAAATTTGAAACAACAGGAACAAAATCTGGGACTTTCTGGTCTTTTTAATTAGTCTGAATGCACCCTGAATTTATTAAAATCACTAGAAATCCAAGATACAAGTTTTTACTATACTCACCTTCAGGTTTCTATAAGATCCTGAATTGCAGCATTACACTGTCAAGTTTCTGTTTCTTTAATCACATTGACCACCTCTTCCTTACTGGTTAAGATGATGTCATAGATAGTTGAAACCCTCATTTCTTCCACCTTCTGAAAGAGGAAGTTATCAGCAAGGCATGTCAGCAATTTCCTGTGAGATGCCATGATTAGCCACATTTGTTTCCCAGTTCCAGCAGATACTAGTGTAGTTCATCCAATTCTTCCTTCCTTGTGTATCTCCCATATCTTATCTTTAGGACTGCAGTAACAGCATAGTCCCACAAAAATGTTGTTTTAATTTCTGAATTATTACAAGGGATCAGAACCAACACACTTTTAAGTACTTTATCCCCCAAGAAAATTTAAGAATATTTTCTCAGGAACAATATGTGGGACTACACTATTCCCTATAGTTGCTGCAGTATTTTGCGCCTCCTTTTTTGTGAATAAGGATATACATTGACCATTGTTTTGCTTTCCATATTTGTTGGTATATTTTAGTTAACACTGGATTTTATTCTGTATGTGTGAATTGTAGCAGTTCAATTGGAATATCCTCGGTTCCTAGTGATTTATTCTACCCAATTTCTTCCATCTCACCTTCTAGAATCTGGGTTTCATTTTCACATGGTTCTTCATTCCATGTGTCCTTTCTGAGTTCAGGAAATGTAGAGGCACTAGGGACCACATTGTAAAGTACAATGGATAATGAAGCGCACCAAGGAATTCCAAAAGAAAATCAGCATGTCCTTTATAGACTTTGACTGCATCAATCACAAAAAGCTATGAAATGCTCACAAAGACATGAGAGTTCAACTACATTTGATAGTTCTGATGACAAATCTGTACTTAGGACAAGAGGCCACTGTTAGAACAGAGTATGGAGAAACCTAGTGGTTTCCAACTGGCAAGGGGGGCAGGCAAGGCTGCATTCTATAACTCTATCTCAGGGGTTGGCAACCTACGGCCTCCGCGGGCTGGGTGCGGCCCACGGAGGCCTTCGGACCGGCCCCTGCCTGGTCCTGCTGCCACCGCGCCACCACCACAGGGTCCTCCGGGGTGCCATTTTGGATTCCAAAATGGCGCCCAGAGTCTTGTGCAACCTTTCCCATCACAGAAAAGGTCGCATGAGACTCCAGGGCGCCATTTTGAAATCCAAAATGTCACCCAGGAGGACCCCCACACCGGTGCTGGGCCTCTCGGAGGCCCAGCGCTGCTGAGGGAGGCCTTCTTGGAGGACCCCGCAGTAGTGCTAGGCCTCTCGGAGGCCCGGCGCAACCGAGGGAACCCTCCTGACACCCAGATATATTTCTCCATGTCTTGGTCTTCAGCTTTGACTTCAAATGGTGTCTCTCCTCTCAATGAACCCTCCTCCTCCTTCTTTGCCCAAGCCTGCTTTCCTTACAATATGTGCTACATATAAGTTGAACAGGTAGGATGATAAGATGCAGCCTTGCTGACCCCTTTGCCAATTGGGAACCATTGTTTCTCCATGTTCTTTTCTGACAATAGCCTCTTGTTCTGAGTAGATTCTTCATCAGAACTACCAGATGTGTTGGCACTCCCATGTCTTTAACGGCATTCCATAGCCTTTCATGATCTATGCAGTCAAAGGATTTGCTATAGTCTATAAAGCACATGCTGATTTTCTTTTGGAATTCCTTTTGGTACGCTCCATTAGCCATCGTATGTTTGCAATGTGATCCCTAGTGCCTCTTCCTTTCCTGAACCCTGCTTGGACCTCTGGGATTGCTTTCTCCATGTATGGTTGGAGCCTATGTTGCAGAATTTTGAGCATGATTTTACTTATGTGGGAGATCAGTACTATGGCCCTATAGTTGCTGCAGTCTCTTGTGTCTCCCTTTTTATGGATGGGGGTGTATATTGATCGCTTCCAATCTGGTCATCGTTTTGTTTTCCATATCTGTTGACATATGTTAGTTAGCACTACAGTTAACTGTCAGTGTGGACTGCAGCAGTTCATCTGTTCCTGGAGACTTGTTTTTTGCCATTTCACTTATTGCAGCTTTGTTACATGCCCCTAAGTTTTACCCTCAACTTATCAAAATCCATAATTTTGGCCCTAAAACCTGCCCCCAATTTATGTTGACTTATAGATGAGCATATACAGTTGATACATGAGTATAAACACTCAAAGCTTTCCCATTTTGATTTTTTTTTTTTTTAAGGCTGAAGAATGAGGTTGCAAACAACAACACTGGGTATTTTGTAAACAGTACATTGTAACTGATACTGTTGAAAGGTTTTCTTGATATTCCTAAATGCTCCTCTATCTCTGCCCCAAAGATGTTAGAATGTTAGGAAATTAGAACAGTAACCTGAATAATGTAGACAACAGTATCATTATATATTCATAACTATTAGAGGGCTAATTGTAAAAGCCGAACCTTTCCCTTTTTATTTGGCGATGACAGCAGAGAGCTAATGTAGATGAATTATCCTTCTGTCTGCAGTTCCAGAACAAAGAACCATAGATTACTTGCATAGCTCAAAGGCTCTTCAGGCCCTACACTTCTCTGAAACAAATATTTGCTCTTAATGTGAAAATAAAGAGGTATCATTAATTTACATTGTGTGAATTCAAATATGTGCACAAACTCATGTAATGCAAAATTTAAATCTGATTCATTAATATCAAAACACACTTCCTCAAAAGCATGCACTGTTCTTATTTCAGAAGCAAAATCAGATAGACCACAAGCCCTGCTGGCTTTGCAAAGTCCTATCACTTACATCTTGCAGAAGAGGGCTTATTTCAAAAGATGGCATATAAATCACTTCAGCAAAGTCTCATACCTCAAATAAAATGTGAAATGTGATGAGGGTGACAGAAAACAAAATACCAGATCAGACAACAGAATCAACCCAAATGAATGATAGGCATAAAATACAGAGCATCTCATTAGGGATTGAAAGAATATCAGCTTCTGGCTGAAAAATGGGTTTCCTGACATTTACAAGACTCACCCAGGAAGAATAATACAATGGGGGAATTTTGCACTGTATTTATCGCATATTCATACATCACAAACTGTTTTGGGAAACAATTCTGCAAACAAATATGCACATACAGGAACCTTATGAACAGGAACCATAATAAAACAAAAATATTGCATACAAATATTTCATAACAAAAAACATGCTTATTTTTGTGCAAGACAGCTGTTTTGTGCAATATTTTTGTATATGATTTTTATTGTGCAAGGTTTTTGCTGTACAAGATCTTTGAACAGGATGTTTCTCTATAAGATTTTTATTCTGCAAGATTGCTGGGCTTTGCATAGAAAATAGGAAACCTGCACACACAAAACACACATGGCTGCTTGGAAACTAATTTTGCATGGAACTCAAAAGTTCTCAAACAAACAAACAAAAACACATATTTCTTAACAGAATAATTTCCCCAAACACTTCAGGATGTCTGAATACCAGACAAATACTTATTTTTTTCCAAAGTAGGGAGAATGCTGGAAATTATTCATCCCCACTTACAAGAATGAAATATTAAAATACTAATTAATATCCCTATATCTCATGAAAGCCAGGCTGGTATAGTGGTTTGAGTATTGGACTGGGACTCCAGAAGACCAGGTTTCAAATCCCTGCTTGGGCATGAGGACTCACTGGGTGATCCTTGGGCAAGTCACATTCTGGGGGGTTGCAGACTGCCAGAAATAGTGCAAATTGAGTCCACTTTTAGGGTTAGAGTTAGTGCTAGGGAATCATGGGAATTGTTTTTTTTTCCTGAGACATTGAGCCTTCTCTGTCAGAGAGCTCTGGTGCCACAATAAACTACAGTTCCCATGATTCCCTAGCCCTAACCCTAAAAGTGGACTCAATTTGCACTATTTCTGGCAGTCTGCAACCCCCCTCTGTTAACCTGAGAAGAATGGAAAGACAAACCACCTATGAGCAAATCTTGCCATGAAAATCCCATGATAGGGTTACCTTAGGGATGACACTTGTCAGAAACAACATGAAGGCACATACAACAACATTTTGTAAGATAGAAACTTGAAGTAATACTTCCAAGAGCTAGCATATGCAGCACAAGTTTTGCATACTTTCTCAAAAGGAAGCCTCACAGATATAAATGAGGCATTAGTCAAATAATTTGGGTACAACTGCAGCTTTTCGCTCTGTACTACTAAAAAACTGCTCTAAAAACAATGACCAATGGTATGGTGGCCAGCAACTGGTCTGGCTTTTGTACCAGGTGGGGAACAAATCTATTTGGGGTCTAAACTTTAAAAGGTACTGAACCTTTATAGGAGACAGGATTCAACACTCTGAATGGCTCCTTTAAAGGTAAAATGCATACAGTATGATTCCTGTATCTGTAGGGGATCCATTCCCATGGTTACTGTGGATAAAGTGAAACTGCAGTTAACAGAAAATGTTATATTTCCAGCAGAAGATGACCACATAGTCACACTGGAAGATCTCCAGATGCCTAGGGAGACATTTTTTGGATGTGCGTAAGTGAAATTCTGTTACTTATTCCACAAGTATGAGGGTTGGACTGTATATCCTATGTAGATTCACTGCCCCACTAACATGGAAGCCACCAGCCTCCATAAGCAGAAATTATTTTTGGATCTTGCAATATCACACACACACACACCCCACACACACACATTGTTCCAGTACAGAGAGTTCAACATAATGGTATTCAAAAGCAAATATCCATTGACAAACTCACATTAACTCTAAAGTCATGCACATGCTTTTCACATACTAATTTTTGTCCATAACCACTACATGTGTTGTCTTTCCTATCTGCTTCATTCTTTCCCTTAGAAGTTCTACATTATGATAGGTCTTGGATCCTGAAAATTGGTAAGCATGCTATAGAGACTCAAGGTGGATACACCTTGGTGTTTAACACTGGACTAATTTTAATTTCATTTTAGTTAATTGCAAGCTGTCTGTGACCTGCAGTACCATTTTTAGTCACTAAACAACAGATTACTGTTAAACTAGAGAGAAAGACCAGTGGGAAAGCAAAACAGTGGACAGAAGAGAGAAAAATCAGTAGGGTCAGGGGGTGGGTGGGGTGAGAATAATAGGTTCTAATCCTTGTGAAGCTGTGTACTTCTGCTAGAAAAGAATGGACAGATGGATAATCCAAGGTGACAAAGATACCTGCAGCACAACATTTTAGAACATGCCCTTCCTCACTGGATTTCAACCAGTGAGGACTTAGTCCAGTGGAACTTTGTGGCTTTGATATCAGTGGGGTGGTAAATTCTCTCAAAATTTTAATCCATATTCTACAGGAGGCATCCAAGGGGCCAAACCCATTTGGGAGTTTGGCATCTTAGACAGTGCCTTTAAAGTAAAGTCAAAGCCAGAGGGGATTCTTCACTTGACTGAGATCATGCCATTGTTTCTACAGTGCAAACCTCAGTGCAACTGTGAACCAAATCACTGTATCTCAGCATTGTCAGTAATATAAATAGAAGGTGGATGGGGATGGGCCCATCTATGCTACTCTCAATTACTTCCAAGAAATGGAGAGTCAAAATATAAGATGTTTTTAATCTAGCTAATTGCTATAGATAAGATAGGTAGAGCACAACACATAATGCGACAAATACAAGTATATAAATAATAAATTGGCTGTAATCTTCAGGTTGTTTACAATTGTAATACTGTGTGTTATGTGTACCTTCAAATCACCTGTTGACCCCATGAATTTCATTAAGGTTTTCTTAGGCAAGGCTACTCAGACGTGGTTTTGCCAGTTTCTTCCTCTGAAATATAGCCTACAGCACTTTTACAATTGTAAACAATCTGAAGATTACAACCAATTTATTATTTATATCCAATGATATGGTGCCTTTGGGGTACTTTGGCCCCTTAAAAGTAATGCTAGTAAACTAAAAATAACAAACATGTGCCATACATAACAGATGTACAAATAAACAAACACTGAATCTGTTCTAATTTTCAAATTGTTCAAGAAAGCAATATCAGCATACTAACAATAAGAAATGTGTCAAATTTGCAACTTTCCTTGTATTTTAGTTTCTAGAGCTTTCTAGGCAGAAGCTCAACTGGCAAGTTAAATGCAAAAGCTTTCCACAGTTTAGTCTGTTACACGACAAGTTACATTTACGGTATCTGAGCATGTCTCAGTTCATGAAAAAAAAGATGAAATGATGAGGACTAGAGGGGATTTTTCATGCATGAATATTTGACACTGTGTTACTGCAGGGCTTGCTGTGAACCAAATATCCAAGGAATGGCACAAAAGTGTCTAGCACAAAAGGTTTCACAAAAATCTGTAAAATCTATTGAAGGAACATGTTGATCGCAGAAGGCTAAAATCAAACAGACACAGTAGAATTAAGGGGTTTTGAAGAGTTCAGTGACCATTGTACAAGCTTTCATTTTGCAATCAGTGTTATTAAGCCCTTTGAACAGCTCAATTCTATTCATGTTTACTCAGAAATAAGTATGACTGAAATCAGTGGAGCTTACTGTCAGGTAAATATGCATGGGATTACAGCGGGGGGGGGGGAGAGAAAACAGTACTGCGAGCTCAGATTTAATATCTGAAAGGATACAGCTTGTTCTTGTGTCAAAACCAGAATGCAAATTCACCTCCTAATAGCTCTACTTCATTGCACCGTGAATGAAAAGTTGAAGCATCAGGCAGTACTCTTTTAGAAAAAGTATGAGAAACAGCTCCAACAGGCCACTTTTCTGCCCTGGGACCATCCAGGGACTACACATATTACCAAAAATGCCACCCAAACCTCTAAAGTGGGCAAAAAGTCTACTTCTGGTTTTGAAAAATTGGCATTTTTTCATGCAGGGCAATTGGGCTGCAGCCTATTATAAAGGTTAATTCCCACCCCTGGAGGCTTCAAGAGAGCCAACTCACCACTTCTGAGAGCAGAAAAAGAACTATCTGGGGAGACTGGAGGGGTGGAAGACTAGCCCTCTCCTTTTAAGGGGCTCGCAGCACAACTCTTTGGAGGAGGAGCTCTGAAACCTTAGATTCAAACAAGGGCTGTATCCACAGTGAGGAAATAATCCAGGTTGATACTGCTGTAACTGCCATGGCTCATTGCAATGGAATTAAAGGAATTGTAATTTTGTGAGACGTTTAGCCTTCTCTATCAAAATGTTCTGGTACCACAACAAACGACAGTTCCCAGATTTTCATAGCACTGAGCCATGGAAGTTAAGATCAGGAATTCTCGGCTGGGAATCCACTGAGCGCTATGAAGTCCATGGATGATTTCAGGGGCTCCATTAAGTGCATGCAAAAAGATTTTTTTTTCCTTCAATTTTCTTCCCTGTTACTTTAAACTTTTCCCATCGCTGTGATTTTATGGCTACAATTGAGTGTTTTCAAATGTTCATTATAATTTTTTTCATTCCAGACTAGTGTGTCTCAAAATCAATTTCAAATATGGTAAAATGAACCATATGCCAAGTATTATGTGTATATGTACCTTTCTGGGAAGGGTGCCCATACCTTTCATCACCTCCTCAAAAGGTCCATGGCTCAAAAAAGGTTAGGAATCAGTAGATAATGCATTTACCACACTTTTTGAAAATGTGCTTCTTCAAGTAATGAAAGACATCTATTTGTCATAGCACCTAATTATTCTCATCACCACATTCTGCATTAGCATGCTTTGCTTTGCGATTGTTCACTGGAAGGTAAACATGGCCTTAATTTGCATATCTGATTGCAAAGACAAAGTGTGTTCATCACTGGGAATTCACATTATCCTTTATGTCTAATTTGATCCTAAGTGCATTTTCATCACCCTGTGCAGCCTGCCAAGCATGCTTAAAGAACCTGTTCTGGAGCCATTTCCTGCCCAAAACTTGGTGACAAAAACTTAGAAATGTGGAAGACAGCTATCTCAATGCACAGTAAATAGCAAGCAAGACAAGTTAAAGCAAGAAGTGCAAGCTTTACTAGATACACTGCTCCCCACCATTCCTGTCTGTTTTATTTGTGGGAAGGATTAGTGTTGGAAATAAGAAGCAGTGCAGTGTGGATTACATTGATAAGAAGCAAATTGGATGTGTACCACATGCAACTCTTTTGCCAAAATACTGCATGCGCAGATGTGTCTTGATACAGTAAGAACAGGTACCGCCCCAATATCACCTCCATGAAAACCAGTGAGCAGGACATTATTGGATTATCTAGTCAAGTGAATTTCTAGCCAATTTATGTTGTTGGATTACAGTTCAAATCAACTCTCACTGTTGATTATGGTGGCTGAGATGGATAGGAATTGCAGTATTGGAAGGCCACAAGCTGCACCAGATCTAGTTATACAAATGTAATACCTGTCAAAATTTCTGCATAGGAAAAATATTAAAGACCAAAGGAATCAAGGATCACAGAATTAAGAAGAACCTACAAGCCTTAGAAAAGGGCCAATACTGATCTTTGAAGAACACATATTGTTGTTGTTGTGTGCCTTCAAGTCATTTCCAACTTATGACAACCCTATGATAACAGGAAAAAAGAAGGGAAACCATACTAAAAGCACAAAATTGTATGTCAGTTACAGAGACATATTTCTAGCTGTTTTTAATTTTCCAGCCATGCTCAGGAGAATGCTTTCCCTCTCT